AGCAATTCCACTCCTAGGTTTCTAGACGTGAGAAGTCAAAAATCCATGTTCACACAAAGATTTGGGGGCAAACATTCATAGCAGCATTATTCATAATAGCTAAAAACCCACCCAGATGCCCATTATCTGATGAATGGATAAATAAAACGCGTATATCCACGTAACAGGATATTATTCAGCACTAAAAAGAAATAAACTACTCAATACAGGCGAACCTCAAAAACATTATGCCAAGCGAAAGCCAGATGTTAAAGGCCACATTCCGTCTGATTTCAGTACATGAGCGATGAGAGGTCTGGAACAGGCGAATGCAGAGACAGAAAGCAGGTCAGTGGTTGTCTGCTGCTGGGGATGGGATGGGAATCGATGGCAAACCGCCATGAAGTCACTTCTGGAGGGTGACAGAAGTCTAAGCCCAGGCTGTGGTAAGAGCTGCATAACTTGACACATTTGTTAAATAATGAAATTTCCACTTAGAGCGGGTGAATTTTAGGGAATATAAACTATGTCTCAATAAAACTCTCTTGGGGTAGTCCTCTGACCTGGTGGTTAAGGCAGCTGGATCCTCCATGGCTGAGTGTGCAATGCGAATGCGGGCCCCAGTGGCTTGAAAAACTGGCACATATACATGCAAGCCCAAAATCTCAACAAGAGGAAGAAGGGGGGGGGCAGGGACTGCATGTGGCCATGCATGACCAGGGAGCGCTCTCTCCATCCTCTCCCTGTCTGTCTGTCTCTCTCGGGTGACCACAGGCATCCTCTGGCAAATTAAAACAAAACACAAAACACTATATAAAAAAGTGACTTGAAAAACTGGAAAAGAAAATTCAGGGATAGAGCTGAAGTTAATCACAGAGGAATATATGGCTTTAAATTCTTCTATTATTAAAAAGTAAACTAAAACTAAATGAGCTCTATATTCAACCTAATTGAGGAAAAGGATGAAATAAATTCGATGAGTAATTAAATATAGAGATGAATGATACTGAGCACAAACAAAATAATCAAAATAATAAATGAGCTCATAAAAAGACGTCCACACGGACATGAAGAGGTTAAAGAATATCACATACTTGTTAGTACAAGACCTCTTCTGAACCGGCCCAATACAGAATGAAGCCCCGGGCTAATCGGGCTAATCGTAGAGAACAGACCCCACCTGGGTCCTAGGCCAAGCTTCTAACCCTATTCCGTGGACACATATGTTATGCCTCATTTACTTATTTCTGGAATCTGGCTGCATCTTACAGTCCCCGCATGGGAAGGCAGCAAGAAAGTGCTGCTTAGCAACCTCTGCAGATCACCTCTGGAAAAGCTCAGGAAGTGCCAGCGTCAGTGCAGCTTAGATTTGATAAAGCAAAGTAGTGCAGAAAGGTTAGAGAACAGCACACCAGCTTCACGTAAATACAGAGGCAAAGATTCAAAAGAAAAGGCGCTGTATAAAAATAATATATTCCAACAAAGAAAAGTTTATTCCAGTAAAGCAAAGATAGTTAAAAACCAGAAATACCTATCAACGCAGTAATATAATATTACGTCTTAAGGAAAGGAATCACTGGCATGTGATAGAATTCAGCACACACTGGCAAGTCCCTGACCAGCCTGGAGGGGTCCCTGCGAGGGCCATGCTGGTATGCTAGGGAGGCCAGCATCTGGTTAAAAACTGCTCACCGGAAACCAAGCGCCACTCTTACATCCCACCAGGAGATGCTGAAGCTCTTTCCTAAACCAGGAGGAAACAAGGGTGCCACATGCCACTTGTTACCCACGTGTAACCGGGCTTAGCTAGTGGTGTTGTAAAGGTAAAGTAACGAGGGCTGGCCCCACCGCGCAGTGGTTAGCGCCGACACAGGGAGCCATTACCACAGCTGACCATGATGTGGATCTGGGTCCCCGCTGTGAGCGTGTGTGCCCAGGTCCTGCTGGGAAGGGGGGCAGAGAAGAAAGGACCACAGTGTGACAGCACCCTGAGGGCGGTGCGCGCGTGCTATCTCCCTGGTGAATGCACGTGCCCTCTGGCAATTAAAAAATTAATAACTAGTATATACAGGCAAAGATATTAGGAGAGCTAAGAGAACACAATTACAAAGAACTCTAATAAAAAATGACTAAGGTCAATAAACATTCGATAAGGCGATGGCATAAAAAATGTACAAATCAGTAACTTTTCATGAGATTAGCAAAAACCAATTAGAGGAGATGGAAAATATATAACCCAGTCATAAGAGTGACAAAAACTATGATGTTATTTAGAAATAAATTTAATGGAAAGGTATAGATTTATAAGAAAACCGTAAAATCTTTCAAGTCAGAAAACAAGACCCAGAAACATGGAGGAGCGTATTAGCTTCCTCGGTGGGAAAAGTGTCAGCGTTGCCCGAACTGACGTGAACTCTGATGTATTTCCAATCAATTTCATCTTTTTTTCTGAATTAGATGAACTTATTTTGGCATATACAGAGAAGCACTCATGTTTCTGAACAGATCAGAAAGAATTATCAACCATCAGACAAGACCGGGGAGGGGAACTGGCTTGACTCACACGAAGTCCTCCTGGATGTGCGGAATTGCTCCTCGGAATTTACCCTTTAGGGGAACGGGGGAAACATGCCGGTGAAAGTACTTGCATGTCTTCTTTCCCCCAGGGGTTTTTACCTTAGGGCACGTGTGCTCACTGGAGAGAGACAGAGACATTGAGAGAGAAAGTAAAAAATCCCCCCCCAGGGGGTTGGCCATGCCTCAATCCCTTCTCCTCCATTCTCCTGCTAGGATCTTGGGCATGCAGGCACACATACCCAGTGTGAGTTTCAAGCCACTGGGTCCAGGAATCAAACTGTGGTTGTCTGTATGAAAGTCCAGTGACATAACCGCTACACCATCTGCTGGCCCCTTGCATGCCATTCTTTTTTTTTAATTATTATTTAAGTTTATTTATTTTAACTTGACTAGAGACAGAATGAGCGAGCAAGAGAGAGAGAGGGGAGAAGTGGGAAAGTAAGCCGCCAGGTCCGGGACTCGAACTGCAGCTGGCCGTGTGGGAGTCCAGCACCCTTACTCACCACGTCACCTGTCGGCCCTTGCATGCTATTCTTACTAAGGATAATGAGAAAGGGAGAAAATGGAGGTTGGGGATAGCAAACAGGCAGGACAGATGCCTGGGAAAGCGCGTACGCAGACTCCTGGCAGAGGCAAAGGAAGCCAGGAAGTATACCCAGGCCTGCACTGACTGGTGCCTGCACAGGCCCTGCCACAAACACCAAGGGATGCCGTGGTCAAGCAAGAGCCAAGTTCCAGCTGGATGGGGGTTAGGAACAGGGTTTGACGCAGTAATGGTCATGCAAAGCCTTTTCATTCTAGACATCCAAGTGACTGACTCTGGGCCTCCTGGGGCAACCAGGAGGAGGGTTCACGTGCACATATTCCTTTCCTCATTTCCCATCTGAGAAGTGCTCCAGAAAAGCAGCAGCTTCCTTCTAATTCTGTGTGTCTTGCACCTAGAACAGGGCCTGCTTCCGCAGGCACTTAACACACCTACCTATCAATGAATGAACAGTTCAGAAAGGCATGAGCTATTTGGGATGGGGAAGATGGCCAACAGTGAATTAGTGCACATATCAGCTACCACAAAGGTAACCCGATTATAAACCAATACCAGCTCTGTGAAATGCAGTGATTGGACAGCCTGGGTTTCGAGCCAGCAAAGGGCAGGAATTCATCAAGTCCACCATCTATCCACCAGTCCACCTACCTACGTATGCATCCATCCATCCACCCACCCATCCATCCATCCACCTATCCATCCATCCATCCATCCATCCATCCATTCACCCATCCACCCATCCATCATCCATCCACCCATCCATCCATCCATCCATCATCACCATCCATCCATCCATCCATCCATCATCGCCATCCATCCATCCATCAGCCAGCCAGCCAGCCACCCGCCTGCCCATCCTGTCCTTTCTCCACCCAGCACACCTGTAATGACCTCCTACATCTGCCCCTAGTGGGCAAGGCACTGGGTAGGCTGTAAAGAAGATAAACTTTACTCAATCAAAATTAATTGTGTGGAAAATGCCCATTTTTAAATTTAGCATACTAATCTTATACTTTGCTAATATTCAAGTTTTCAGAGGATCACGATGACTGGAGGGTCCTACTCTATTTTCCTTGACAGGAAATTTTGAAGAAATTCATTCAAGATTTTCCTTGACAGAATCTCTTAAAGGAAGACTTTAAGGATTGAACACCTTCAGGTAGAAAGGGGTAGTTGTGGGGCCAGTGAGTGGCACGGTGGTTAAGGTGTTGTACTCCCACATGGCCAACCATGGTTTGAGTCCCAGACCTGGTGACTTGCTTTCTCTCACTCTCTCTGTCTCCCTCTGATCAAATTAAAAGATAAATAATAACAAGTAAAATTAAATAAAACTTTTTTTCAAAAAGGGGGTGACTGTGCCATTTTGGGGGGAAATTCGAAGTAAATACCACGTTTCCCAGACTAATCACAAATAAGCCTGAGGACACATAATCCCAAATGACTTAGAACTAAGGAAGTCTATAAAGCAGGGTGGTGACAGTCTTCACTTCTCCAACACTGGCGAAAGAAAGAGGTCCACTATGAGTTTTACAACAACTCGGTTTGTAGTAACTGCTTTCAAAATTGCTGGAGTTCTAGACAAAAAGCATCATTTAAAAGAAAAACTGGCTAGCTTAATTATAACTAATACAAGCAGATTTTAAGTTTGTTCTATTTTATTAATGTAGTATACCTGCAATATATTAGTTATTAGATTTTTATCTTCAATAGCTCTGGAATTCAAAATACTAGTAGAGTAGATAATGTTAGTGGCATTTAGGCAAAAAAAATAAACCTCAAGCTAGAAAGAGAATCCCACAAGATATAAACACGGCAAAGGTAGAAGCTACAAATTCTCACAACATTACTCCTGTTCCCCAAACAGCCAACATCGAACTTTGAAAAGACAAATGGAAATTACCTTTTAACGATGGTAGTTTCTGAAGTTCTCTATTATTGCTGATGCTAAACCTTGAAGAACTCTGCCGTTTGTCTTTCTTCACTATGGGCTGAGGGGCTGGTACTTTTATTTTAGTAGATACTGAAGACTGGACAGGAACAAGGCTGTTTTTCCTGCTGGAAATTTGCTTCCAAAACAAAAACAAAAACAAATAAGTATGTAAAATGATTGCATTTTATGGCATAGTTTATAAAATATAGAAAAAACCTGTACAGAAGTTTAGCTCTGGGACAGCCCCCTTCAGTCTGCTGTAGATAACGCGGGTCCCTAGTTACGGCAGTGCGAGGGTCCCATCCCACCCAGCTGCAGGTGAAGAGGCTCATGATGGCCCTTGTTCACGTACCTTCCTTCGAACTTTTCGCTTCTAAAGCCTGATGTATCAGTAGCTGGCCCTCTAAACACGTGCACATCCTAGTCCCGAGAACCTGTGAGGCTCTGACTTTACTGGCAGAGCGGCTCTGAGTGTGGGTGGAACTAGAACGTGAGATGGAGAGGCAATCCTGGCTTAACTATCCAGGTGGCCCCAGTGTCACCACACAGGCCCTCAACAGAGGCAGGCCTAGAGCAGAGAAGGCAGCGTGGTGACAGGAGGGGAGGTCAGACAGCCAGAGCCTGGATGACGCTGGCTGCTGGCTGTGAAGGCAGAGGGGCCACGAGTGAAGTAGTGTGGGTGGCCCCCGGAAGGTGGGAAAGGTCGGAAATGGTTCTCTAGAGCTCCTGGGAGAACACAGCCCGCTCCCTTAATCCTGACCCATGTCAGGCTTCTGACCTCGGGGTTGGGGCCGTATGATAAGAAGTTTGCGCTTCTCGTGGGCCGTAAGTGTGGCAATTTGCACGTGGTGTGAAGGAACGAACGTGGCTGAAGATCTCAGGACATGACAGGCGATCTCTGCGAGCTCACCACTCAGCCCTCGGAAATCGGGAAGGACCCGAGTGTCCAGACGTGCCCATCCTCTCGCTTCTCTCCCGCTGCACTCACCGCTCGGGTCCCCACTTGCACCCTCGCCTCCACACTGGATCGCGACGCCCAGGACTGCACGTGGGTGCTGGCAATGCTCAAGTGGGAGGTGGAAGAGAGTCCGTGGGCCCCCACAGCAGGGCCCCAGGGCCATGGGACGTCCCCTGTCCTCTGCACAGGCCCAGGGGACACCAGGGAGTTCAGCTGTGTCCTGGGCCCCCAGCTGAGGGCTTTCTGGGCAACCACCAGCAGACACAGGACTGCGGCAGCACCGTGAAGATTCTGTGCAACGTGCTCCCCGCCTCCCCGCCCCTTCCTGCCCGAAGAAGTGGAGTCATTTTCTGCACGTATGCTCTTCAGAAAGGCTATCAAACTCCACTCCAGGGTCACAGACGCACCAAGTCTATTCCAATGACAAGGGCCATGGAGGGAGACATGCCAAGTCAAGCCCCAAACTAATCTGTTCTCATCCTTGAATTAAATTTTCACTGAGCAGTAAGATGCTTTATTTTTTAATAAGGTGCGTAAGAATGCATGGAAAGATGAATTCTGCAGAGAACCAGGGGCCTAGGCCTCCTCAAATGTGCTTTCTTAGGCCTAAACCTTGACATGACAGTCTTGCCACCTGGTCATGAGAGCATGAGTCTTTCCTAAAATCCCCACCTATAACTCACCTCCTCCACCCCACTTAAAACTCCCACCAGATGCCTCCAGAAAAACCCCTGTTTCCATTCCACAGTCACAAACACTGACTCCTGGAAACTGTTTTCCCTTTAAATCATTATTATTCATTTAGTTCATCCACGAGCAAGAGAGACAGAGAGCAAGAGAATTCACTTTTAGCAGGGTCTCAATATGGTGCTCCGCCCGCCAGCTCAGCCAGTGCCAGATCACCATGTGTCCTGCGTACTCAGGGAGGTCTCTGGTTGTGAACTTGGAACCTTCTCACTTGGTCAGCCTTGTGCAGTGTCATGTTTTACTCTGTGTAAAACTGACCTTGTTTCAGACATTAAATCACATATCCATGCGTTCCCATAGATTGAAATTTATTTTTTTAAGGATTATTTTACTTAACTTTATTTACTTTAATTTGACCAGAGAGGGACAGAGTGAGTGAGAGAGACAGAGAGAGAGAGAGGGTGAGAGGAACTGAGAAAGCAAGCTACCAGGTCCAGGACTCAAACCGTGGTTGGCCATGTGTGAGTCCAGCACTTTCAACCACCACGCCATTTGCCGGCCCCACGTAGATTGAAATTTCTAATTCCTTTTCATGTGCCACACACACTGACTTTTGATAAACAAGTGGGTGGAGAGGAGGAAAAACAGCTCCACAACTGTCCACGTCCCCACAGGAAAATAAACCCCACACCATGTAACCACACTTACGAGGACGGGACACTGACCTGCTCACCCATGGAACAGAGTTCCACTTAGGGTCTGCAGCCCACTGGAGGGAGCATGCCAGGTGAGGTTTCCAGCGGCCCTCAGACCTGCCCACCCCAAGGCACCATCGGCTCCTTTCCCTTGGACCCGTGTCCTCGCCTCACTCTGGCCTCCTTCCTGACCATCCTCCTGGAGGCAGGCAGAGGAAACTTCCAGAAGAAGAATCTGGTCTCATCATCCCTGCAACCACTTCACTCCAGTTCCCCCTGGCTTCACGAAAGTCACAAACTTCCCCAGCTCCCCTTGCCATGGCTTGTAGGGCATGGTTCCTTGGCTCCTTCGAGGCCCCACCTCCTTGTGGTATATTCGGACCAGGGGGCTCTGTTTTCTCCTCGCCTGGACCCAGACATCATGCTTCCTTCTCATGCGTTTTCTGACAGCCATTATGTACTTGTAAATCTCTGCCCAGTGCCCGCCTGTGCTGGCCACCTTCCTACACACACCGGCCCTGGAACCAGAACTGGAGAGAAGGAAGACAGTGTGGAAGACTCAGGAGCAGCTACTCCACAGCTGCCTTCACCCCCAGTTTCTCCAACACTGCACTTTCCTGCACAGATAGGACACCTAAGTGTGAGGTGGTCAACCGAGACCATGAAGGGAGGATCTCATGCAGCCAGACTGAACTTGTCAGTGAACTCCGATCCCTGGGCTGATCCCAACACTCTGCCTTGACCCCTCTTTCCTTACCAGACACCCAGCAATTCCATTCTCTAGTGTCCTTCAGAATTCTCCCCTTCTGCAATTTTATAATGGACTGGCCAAACTGCCACCACTTACATGCCAGAGATGACATGACACTGGATGATACACCACTTAAGAAGTGCTTGTACCTCCAAAAAGTCCAGTCTGAATCGGATATGCCTTGAGATCTAAGCATCACCAGGAAACCCCATGACCTGTAGAGACGCGACCTGCAGAACGTGGGGTGTGCTGTGCAAAGAGTGGAACCGCGGGAGCTCAGCAGCTCAAATGCCACTTCAAGGTAACGTCTTCCCCACCTGCTCATCATGTAGTCAGACTCAGTCACCTCCTTGATATTCTTGTGTTTACATCAGACCCTAAATCACGTCTGCGCCTACAGAGAGATGTTCACGTTTGAGGGCAGGGACGGTAGCTCATCTCCCTTTAACATGCATGTTTGCAGACCCTTCTTTACTATGCACCTTTTGTATCTTAACCCCTCAACTGCACCCTCTGCACAATAGCTTCCGTGCACAAATGCACTCTACCAATATCAAACCTATTTCTGCATGCTTTTTAAAGATCTTTTGAAAGAGTGGCTTCATCAAAATAGTGTGCTACTGACAAAGACAGACATACAGATCAATGCAACAGAATTGAGAGCCAAGACCATTGAGTGGGGAAAAAATAGTTTCAACAACAAATGGTGTAAGGACAACTGGATAGTAATGTGGAAAAGAATGAAGTTGGACCCCACCTCATACCTCATACAAAGAATCATCCAAAACAGACCAAAGACCTAAATATAGAAGCAAAGCATAAAACTCTTAGAGGAATGCAGAGGTAAATCTTTACCTTGGCTTTGACAATGGTTTCTTGGATATAATTCCAAAAGAACAAGCAACTTGGGACTGGGAGGTGGTGTGATGGTTAAGGTGCTGGACTCCCATGTGGCCGACTGGGGTTCGAGTCCCAGACCTAGCAGCTTGTCTTCTTCATTCCCTCCTTCTCTCTCTGTCTCTCTGGTCAAATTGAAGAATAATAATAAATTAAATGAAATAATTCTTTTTTAAAGATTTATTTGTTTATTTAATTCCATTTGTTATTATTTTTTTCAATGTCACCAGAGACAGACAGAGAAAGAGAGAAAGGCAAAGCAAGAAAGCAAGCCACCAGGTCCAGGACTCGAACCACGGTTGGTCATGTGGGAATCCAGCACCTTTAACCACCATGCCACCTGCTGGTCCCAAATTAAATAATTATTTTAAAAAGTAATAAAAAGAGACCAATAGTTGGCATAATGGCTATGTCGCTGGACTCCCATGTAGCCGACTGCAGTTCAAGTCCCAGACCTGGTGGCTTGAGCTCACGCCAGGCACGTGTGCATGTGTATCCAAGGAGAACAGAGGAGACGGGATTGCAGCATGGCCATCCGCCCTAGGGGGTGATTTCTTGTTTTCTGTCTCTCTGTCTTTCTTGTGAGCGCGCGTGCCCTATAGCAAAAAACCCTCAAAAAAAAAATTAAATAAATAAAAAAGAACAAGCAACTAAAGAAAAAACAGATAAAACAGGCTTTATAAAAACTAAAACCTTGGGACCAGAAGATGGTGTAATGGCTATGTCGCAAGACTCTTACGTAGTTGATCAGGTTTGAGTCTCAGACCCAGTGGCTTAAACTCACACTGGGCGTGTGTGTGTCCAGGATCCCAAGAAGAGAATGGAGGAGAAGGGATTGTGGTATGGCCATCCCCCTCCGGGGGGGATTTCTCGCTGTCTCTCTGTCTCTCTGGTGAGCATATGTGCCCCAAAGCAAAAATCTCTCTTAAAAAAAAAAATTAAAAACTTTTGTGCATCAAAAGACACAATTGAGAAAGTAAAAAGATGACCCACAGAATGGGGGAAAATACTTCCAAATTACATATCTGATCAGGGTCTAGTATCTGGAATATATATATTAAAAAAAAAAACTCTAACTAATAAACACAGAAAGATAATCCAATCAAAAATAGGCAAAGTGCTTGAGCAGACATTTCTCAAAAACAAAA